AGAATTAACCAATGATGCAGAAGATGCTCATAATGAGTAGAGATGAGCACCTTACTTGATCTATGCACAAAAGCTCCTTCTTCTTCCTTTCAAGGCTACAAAAACACACCAAATAAGTCAAGAGCTTCAAAGTGGGATAGGATTTAGGTTTATGGGTGTTGGAGGCTAATAAGAGGTGAAACCCTAGCTACTACTTCCTTTAAATAGGGGTGCAAGATTCAAAATTCAGGGTTTACACCTCCAGATGGCTGCCACGCCATGGACAAAAGAATGCCACACCGTGGTGGCTTAAGTGAGTCTGTGACCAATTTTTCCTTGTTGCATCGTGGTTGTTCCTCCACCACATCACGACAAACCCCAAAACTTACAAAATAAGCTAATAACATATAACTCAAGAATCCGTGTGTTATAGTTCGATTGTACATATGCACATTCACTACATGTTTCTGCATAATATAATCATTCTCTAATATATTTGAATAAATAAGAATGAAAATTTTGGGTTGAAAATGAGGACGTTTAAAGTTGGCATAAAATCCCTGGTTTAAGTGAACTAGATGAAAATTTGTGAGAATGAAGACTCAAAATAAGGATTTAAGTAATAAATAAACCTTTTCATAAAAAGAACAATAGAGTGTGTAATGTGTACAGTTAGCCGAAGCTCAGAAAGGAAATTGATTCCTAAAATATCCATATTGTTAACTTTGCTGATGTGTGAAATGTTAGAAATACATGCTAGTATGCAGGCTAGGAATCTTTTCAGAAATTGCTAAATAGAATTCTTATAATTAAGATGCCTTATAGCTTAGAGATTTTCTTGTTAATTGTTGCTTAGAGCCTAAATTGATATTAATTAGTTATTTGAAAAGTACATTAGGTTGCATGCTCCAAAAATTAGATAGTTTTAGATTGCCTGATTTGGCGTTATTGCGCAGCGCTCACTTGAGTCTAATCGTTGTAGTGTTAGATCTTTCAGTTAACAGATTGTTTGATTTTAGCGGTATGTAATTGTATTCATCCGATAATTACTTAATCTTGGTAGAAGTTCTTCCTCAGCTAATAGTAGCATGAAATGGAAGGGAATCTTAAGAAGCGAGTCCAGTAAATTTAATATATGTGTAATAGGGCATATATTTATAGAAAGAGCATCAATAAATAAGCAAGCCCTAGTGGAGTTTGGGAAAACCTAATGTATGTGCTCATGACACCGATACATATATACATTTAGCGATCCTTGTGTGTATTATTGGAAGTGACTTGGAAACTGCAAGACAATTCTTTGGACAAGTATGAGTAAGTGTCAAAGGTAGTTGATGCCTATACTACCTAAAACATAGGACTCGCACGTGGATTAGGAAAAGTCACAAAGTTGCTAAGGCAATAGTAATTAGGTAGATAGTGTGGCTATCACTATAAATTTGTTTCAATTCTGTCATCACCTATTGTATAATGATGTATATAAGAGTTATTCTAAGTTCACGTCCAAAAATATCAAGTCCAGGAAAGTAGAATTGTATAAGTAAGTAGGGTGAGCAAAACCAAAACCAAAAACACAAAAGCCATAAAAAACGACAAAACTGAAACCAAGAAATCAAAACCGAACCTAAACTGTTGGATTTGGGTTTACATTTTTAAACACCGTAAAATGGGTTTTGGGTTCGGTTTTAGTACCTGAAACCAATCCAACCCGTTGGGTTTGAAACCGAACCAACCTGAGATTATTAAATATTTTTCATTGATATTCTATAATTAGATTTTCTATGTCAAAGGTAATATATGTCAAATGCAAAAGGAGGTGGAATTTGATACTAAATTAAACCAAATATATGGTATGTGTTGTTATTTTAGTGTAACCGAGATTATTAATTGGTTTTTTGCTACTTGTTTTTATTCTAAAAACTTCTTAAACTTAGTTGTTTTTAAACTTGGTTGTTGTATAGTTTTAGCAACATATTTTTGATTTTGTGTTGGTGTTGAATTGGTGTTTTTAGTTTCTTTAATACAGGTTGTTCGATTTGTTTCATTTTTTAAGTTATAAAGACTCGTTGAAAAATAGGTTACAACCCAAAACCTACAGGTTTAAACCTAAAACCCATCAACCAATGGGTCGAACCAAAAAAACGATGAAATCGATCCAAGAACCCAAAAATCGAAACCTACCAAAAACCAAACCCGACGGGTTCTAAAACCCAGAAACCAAAATACACAGGTTGCCTTCGGTTATACCCCAAAACCTACCCAACCAGGCATGTAACAACCCAAAATCAATGATTTTTTTTTTGTTTTAAAAACCATTAGTTCCATACATCAGATGTCTCAAAGTCAACCACAATACAAAATGTCAAAAAATGAGAGTACAAAAAGCCATAAAGTGTGGAATCATGAGGGTGATGTTGTCCCATCATGTCAGGCCCTTCATTTTGGTACTGAAAGTACTTGAGATCATAAATATAAACTGTAAGCATAAATGATAGTGAGTTCCCCAAAGTAGCATATACCAAATGTACAACTAGCCGTATCCTTGGGGTATATTCTAACCCAACATATAATCATGGGCTCAACCCTGGGGTTTCTTTTCAACCCATCATATATTCATGGGCCCGACCCTAGGGCCAACTCTGAGGTTTGTTTTAACCCATCAAACAATAATGGGCCTAGCCCTGGGGCCCAACCATGGGGTTTATTTCAACCCAATCATACAAACATGTAAGATTCACAAAGACAACTAGCATCCTACACACACAATTTACTGGGCCAACATTGGTATCTTCGACGCACAAACATACTGAGAAGGATCACCTCTAACTAAAGATAACCGAATCACACACTCGAGTTGCTGCTACCACAACTCCTGACACTCATCATAACCCAAAGTCAACCTTAATTGATAATCGGGGTTTTAACCCATAACCAATGGTCTAAATCATCTTTTATGTTACTAAGGATAAAAGACCATTTTACCCTTCCCATACATGATCACCTATACAAAGCCTAAAACTCCTAATGACCTAAAGCCCAAAAATAGCCCAATTAGGTTTCTACGAGTATGTCATGCGTATTCCCCGTTACTCTATGCATACTGTGAGTTTTCACAAGGGTTGCACGGAAAACACCCACTACGTCATGCATACTCAAGGGTTATGCCCGACGTAACAACCTGAAGTCCAAACATTTAACTAGTGGTCTTAATGCTTGAAGTTCTAACGTCCAAACTTTAGATCTAACCCTAATGAACGTATAAAATCATAAAGTTGCAACCTTTATGCCTTTGCATGGGTACAAGGAGTCCAAAATCCGACCCTAAGTCTTATTCATGACCTAAAAGCTTAATATCTAGCGTGGGTGAATAGGGTAAGACCAAGGCCCCATTATTCTGAATCAAAAAGCTCTAAAATGAAGAGGTTGTGGTGTTGTAGGTGAAGTGATTATCAAAATTAGAACAATATTGTATAAATGATATACAAAGAAAACCCTTGATCTTTGCTAGGATCTCCGACACAAAACCTTGAGAGGTGATAAAGATCACCTTCCTTGTTAATTCTATTAAGTGAAATGTGGATTATAGAAATGAAAGTATGTAAATGAGTACAAGTATTGCAGTAAGTCTAGTTGTGTGTAGTGTGCGAAGTACATGCGTATTTATAGTCTAGTCTGAGTAATCATAAGTCCGATATTTCCGGGAACATTTCGAATAAATATGAACATGTTGGTTTGACTTGGTATTCCTGAGTCTTCTTCCTTGTAAAAACGTTTCTTTGTTAAGAATGAGTCTTATGTTGACTATTTCTACACATGTGAGAAAAAGATAGAAATATATCTGTTATAAATGTTAGGAATAATAATGATGATAAAGGTCAGGATCCTAAGAGTTCTTGAAGACCCGGGATCCTAAATAGGATTGAGGATCTTAGCCCTAACAATACCTATATTTTTTTTTTTTTTGTAAGGGGGGTCATTGTTTAGAGATCTTTATATCGGTTTACTTCCTCTAACAAGTTGGAAACTACAAGGAAAGTGTTGTTTGTTAAAAAAATGTTCGATTTGGGTGGTGTTTTGAGGTTCGAAACTAGTATCCGTTTGGGTTTGAAAAATGTTTTGTTTTGGGATTGGTATGCATTGAGGATATTGATACAAATTTGGAGCCATGCCCCCAAAATGGTAATCTTCAGGTGAGTAGAGAGATTGATCGAACGATATTGGTCTATAACATGTCGATGATGTAGGGTTTGCTGAAAGATTTGCTATCAGTGATGTAGGTTTTAGTGAATGATTTGATGAAAATGTGTGTTATCAGATTATGAAGAACTTTTTCCTTTCTTCTTAGGGTTATGGATTCTTTTGAAGAGGACATGGTAGATAGAAAGTTGAAAGAGTATGAAAAAAAGAATTAGATTGTGTGTAATAAAGTGACAAACTTATGAGGTTGAGTGTATTTATAATGGTTTTAAGAAAATTTTGAATTGCTTTCTAAAAAGACTAGTGTCTCTTTTTTTAAAAGAAAAATGGTCAAATAATCTTTATTTTTAGTCAAAAGTTGCAAAAGCCATTTATTAATTTCCTTCTCTTCACACTACACCGGCGAGCAATCCTTGGCGAACCCTCATGATGCGTGCCAAGAGACGGTGCTGGCAAGCTTGGCATCCCCGAAGCGTGTCCACAGCGAGCTGCGCTCGGTAGACGATCGTCTTATCGTTTTTTATTTTTTTATTGTGAACTTGTACACCTTTTTCTCATGGATAAATATAAACAAAGGTAAAATGATATTGTAGACGTAGACAATTCCACACCAGATTTTATTCTCACTAGTTAATAGTACATCTTCAAACATAAAAAGGAAAAAAAAAATTAAAAATTAGCACATCACCCTTTTGTCACTATGCTATAAATAGTAAGCACACTTTTCTATGGTCGAATTTTATAGATTTCCGACACCCCTTAAAAGAAATTAAAAAGAAAAAGTTTATAAACTTCTATCCTTAAAATTCAAACCATGACATCTTCTAAGCTGTTGCAACAGGACCCAAACTCACATTAGCTTCAACTGCTTTCATGGCTTCAAACCTCGGCTCTTTCGCCTGAAACTTCAATCCTGCATACAGTTTCATGTAATCATCAAACACAAACTTTGGGTACGATTGTTCTTTCTCTGCTGTCTCTTCCAACAACGCCGGTGCCGGAAATATCACAGCATCATTCCCCGGATTATAAAAAGACGCTATCGACATTCTTGTTCCATCTGTTTGAGCAATAACTCTATGCATCACACTCTTATACTTTCCATTAGTAATCACCTGCAATTCAATAAACCATGTTTCATAATCAGTTACCCACCATGGATTTGATTAATTAAATTTGCTAATTTTGGGAAGGATTATTAGGGTTTTAGGCTACCTCAATTTGGTCACCGAGGTTGATGACGATGGAGTGACGCATGGGTGGAACATCGATCCATTCACCGTCTTTGAGAAGCTGAAGACCGCTGACTTTATCATCTTGGAAGAGTAAAATGATGCCGCCGGCGTCGGTGTGTGCTCGGAGACCCTTGATTAAGTCCGGCGTCGGGCATGGAGGATAATTACTTACTTTCGTTCCAAAATTTGGACCTTTTGATCCATGAAACGCTTTCTTTAGATAACCTTTCTCTAATCCAAGATTCTCACACAGCAAATCCAAAAGCTCTTCTGCTAATTTCTCTAGCTTACCAGCAAAATCCTTCATTAAGTTCCTGCAAATACACGTATCGATTGTATGTTCATATAATGATATGTAGTTAATAACTAAATAGTATTTCTTTTCTCT